GTAAACCTAACAAAAGATGTGAAAGACCTCTACAAGGAAAACTATACACTTCTGAAGAAAGAGATTGAGGAAGACTATAGAAAGTGGAGAGATCTCCCATGCTCATGGATTGGTAGAATCAACATAGTAAAAATGTCGATACTCCCAAAAGTAATCTACATGTTTAATGCAATTCCCATCAAAATTCCAATGACATTCATTAAAGAGATTGAAAAATCTACTGAAATTTATATGGAAACACAAGAGGCCACGAATAGCCAAGGCAATACTCAGTCAAAAGAACAATGCAGGAGGTATCACAATACCTGACTTCAAACTATATTACAAAGCAATAACAATAAAAACAGCATGGTACTGGCACAAAAACAGACATGAAGACCAGTGGAACAGAATAGAGGATCCAGATATGAAGCCACACAACTATAGCAACTTATCTTTGACAAAGGAGCTAAAAATATACGATGGAGAAATAGCAGCCTCTTCAACAAAAACTGCTGGGAAAACTGGTTAGCAGTCTGCAAAAAACTGAAACTAGATCCATGTATATCACCCTATACCAAGATTAACTCAAAATGGATCAAGGATCTTAATATCAGACCCAAACTCTTAAGTTGATACAAGAAAGAGTAGGAAATACTCTGGAGTTAGTAGGTATAGGTAAGAACTTTCTCAATGAAACCCCAGCAGCACAGCAACTAAGAGATAGCATAGATAAATGGGACCTCATAAAACTAAAAAGCTTCTGTTCATCAAAAGAAATGGTCTCTAAACTGAAGAGAACACCCACAGAGTGGGAGAAAATATTTGCCAATATACATCAGACAAAGGACTGATAACCAGAATATACAGGGAACTTAAAAAACTAAATTCTCCCAAAACTAATGAACCAATAAAGAAATGGGCATGTGAACTAAACAGAACTTTCTCAAAAGAAGAAATTCAAATGGCCAGAAAACACATGAAAAAATGCTCACCATCTCTAGCAATAAAGGAAATGCAAATTAAAACCACACTAAGATTCCACCTCACCCCTGTTAGAATAGCCATCATCAGCAACACCACCAACAACAGGTGTTGGCGAGGATGCGGGGAAAAAGGAACCCTTTACACTGTTGGTGGGAATGTAGACTAGTACAACCACTCTGGAAAAAAATTTGGAGGCTACTTAAAAAGCTGGACATCGATCTACCATTTGATCCAGCAATACCACTCTTGGGGATATACCCAAAAGACTGTTACTCCAGAGGCACCTGCACATCCATGTTTATTGCGGCACTATTCACAATAGCCAAGTTATGGAAACAGCCAAGATGCCCAGCACTGACGAATGGATTAAGAAAATGTGGTATCTATACACAATGGAATTTTATGCAGCCATGAAGAAGAACGAAATGTTATCATTCGCTGGTAAATGGATGGAATTGGAGAACATCATTCTGAGTGAGGTTAGCCTGGCTCAAAAGACCAAAAATCGTATGTTCTCCCTCATATGTGGACATTAGATCAAGGGCAAACACAACAAGGGGATTGGACTATGAGCACATGATAAAAGCGAGAGCACACAAGGGAGGGGTGAGGATAGGTAAGACACCTAAAAAACTAGCTAGCATTTGTTGCCCTTAATGCAGAGAAACTAAAGCAGATACCTTAAAGCAACTGAGGCCAATAGGAAAAGGGGACCAGGAACTAGAGAAAAGGTTAGATCAAAAAGAATTAACCTAGAAGGTAACACCCACACACAGGAAATCAATGTGAGTCAATGCCCTGTATAGCTATCCTTATCTCAACCAGCAAAACCCCTTGTTCCTTCCTATTATTGCTTATACTCTCTCTACAACAAAATTAGAGATAAGGGCAAAATAGTTTCTGCTGGGTATTGAGGGGGGGAGCGGGAGGGGGCGGAGTGGGTGGTAAGGGAGGGGGTGGGGGCAGGGGGGAGAAATGAACCAAGCCTTGTATGCACATATGAATAATAAAAGAAAAATGAAAAAAAAAAAAAAAAAAAAAAAAAAAAAAAAAAAGCAGGTGCTCTAACTGCCTAAGCCACACCTCCAGCCCATTTTGCTCTGATTATTTTAGAGATAGAGTCTCCAGAACTACTTGCCTGGGCTGGTCTTGAACTGCAGTTTTCCCAATCAGCTTCCCAAGTAGCTAGGATTATGGGTGTGATCTATCAGCATCTGGCATGGTAGCCTTTAAAGTTGGGGGTCAGCAAAATTTTTTTTGGTAAGGGACCAGAGATGTCAGTAATTTAGGCTTTGTGCCACAGGCATCTATCTCTGTGCATGGACTTTTGTATATACAACCTTATAAAATGTAAAAACCATTCTTAGGTCAAGAACCATACCAAAATAGGCCATAGCCTGTTGCTTTTTACAAAAGCAAGCCCATCTTCAGTGCCAAACTGCACTCTAATAAAACAATATTGTTTACACTATAAAACACAGTTGTGAAATGCTTTGAAGCCAGTGGCTTGTCTGATGATGAAATTTAAAGTGTGCTGGGCATTTTTCTTCATCAGAAAAACTGCATTGTGTCAATATCTCCTGTTGAAAGCATGAGGAAAATCTGAAACTGGGAGGAGAGTGGATATGACAGCTCTGTACTATCTTTGTAACTTCTGTATAAATCTGGAATTACTGGGAAATAAAAGCTTATTTTTTAAATTTTGTTTTTAATATTGCTCTTCAGGAATTTCCTTTTCAGCTCTGGGGTTTGAACTCAACCTCACACTTGCTAGGCAGGTGCTCTACCATTTGAGCCATACTACTTCCAGCCCTTTTTGCTGTTAGTTATTTTTCTGATAGGATCTTGCGTTTTTGCCTAAGACTGTCCTTTGACCCTAATCCTTCTTTCTACATCTTCTGGGATCATATGTGTGTACCACCATGCCCAGCTTATTCATTGAGATGGGGTTACACTGACTTTTTGCTGGAGGTGGCCTTGAACCATGATCCTCCCAATCTCTGCTTCCCAAGTAGCTGTGATTACAGGTGTGAGCCACCACACTTGGTCTAGGGATTTTCTTTAGTTGGTCAAGCTGTATTTTTGTTTTATTTATAAAACAAATTTGGCTTTGAAGTAAAATTTTAAGCAATACTTTGGTGGCTTTGAATTTCTACTCATCAGAGACTCCTCCTCTTTTGTTAGGAAGTTTGAAAGGAGAAATGAAGCCAGAGCCTTTTCTTGCAATGTCAATAGATACATAACTAAAAGGTACAGGCTCCAGCTCTAAATTTAATGCCACTTTGGCCTTCACTGAGGTCTTATCATGTGATTAGATTGCTAGTACTCTAGTATTTGTCAGCATACCTGACAAATGTCTTACTGTTTATTTCAAAATAACTTCAAAAGATAGGTTGCATACATATATCATACCACTTTGCCCCTTTATACTCTGTGGTGTATATCCAGAGCAAGGACATCTTACACAGTTATCAAATTCAGAAAATTTTGGCTTATGTCATCTACAATGTGTCTTCCAATTTTTTCAGTTTTCTAAGTCATGATCCTATATAAAACATTTTTTTCCAATGTGCAATCCAGTCCATGTTCAGGTTTTCCATTTAGTTATTCATCAGTTTAGTTTTGTATAAATTGCAGTAGTTCTTAATCTTTGTCTCTCTAGACATGAATATTTTTGGAGAAAACATCAGTTATTTTGTAGTATTTACCTTGGTTTTGATCATGTGGAAGGTCATGTAGATATCTTGTTATTGTAGTCATATTTCGGCACCACACTTCTGTGAAATATCCAAAAGAGGTAAATCTGTAAAGACAGGAAGAAGGTTGGTGGTAGGGAAAGGAATGGTGAATGGTGACTAACTGCTTAATGAATATGATGTTTGATGATATATGTGATGAAAACATTTTGGAAGTCAGTAGAGGTGGTAAGTGTAAAATGTTAAGAATTTCTAAGTCAAGCTTGGGTGTTTGTGCTGGGAGGCTGTGGCAAGAACATCTCAAGTTCAATGCCAGTGAGACCCTGTCTCAAAAAAAAAAAAGAAAAGAAAAGAATTTCTAAATGCTTGTGAATCATTCACTTTAAAATAGTTAATTTTATATTTTGTGAGTTTTATCTCAGTAAAATTAATCTTTAAAAAGTCCGTATATAAATGGTTTTCTTTCCCTTGTATAGACTGGGTTTCTCAGCAAATAGAAATTCCATTTGAAAAGTTCTTACTGCATGATAATTACCAAGACAGGAGGAGGATCAGGAGGTCCAGCCCAGCCTGGGCTACAGAGTGAGTTCCAGGCCATAAAGGGACATGATTCTTGGTAGGAGAATTAATAAGCAGAAGGATCTATTTTCTCCACTAAATAGCTAAGGTTTAATATGTAGTATTTCCATTTCAAAAATTCCCATATGTTTATGATAGGTCTGAAAGAACAAGTTACTTCATGTATTTCCTAGCCAACTTACATGATTTTTTATACTCAATAACAGGTTTCTTAAGACAAGAATTCTGGTATATTAAATTTAAACATTGGATATATAGTACACTAAAATTCTAGGTTTAGATTAAAAATCTGATAGCTTCTTGTCCTCCAAACGTAAATGTTCCCGTTTTCCTATTTGCCTTTCCACCTTCAAACTGAACTCCCAGACTTGTTAAATAGAACTTACTATGTTGTTTACTAGATGGTTCCTTGTTTCTTAACCTCTCAGTTTGTTTTTCTCACAAGTGGGAGAGACATACCGTATCACAATTGTGTGTTAGAAAGAGGCTAAATGTTTGGCACAGGGTATGGCATTTGGTAGGTAGAGCGGTGGTTTGCAGAGTAGTAATGATTATTGTCCCAGGAACTTCAGAGTGTTATGGGAAAATAAGTCTTTGTCTCCACTATATTGCTGCCTTTTTACAACTTACAGCCTGTGGAGATACACTGTGTTCTGAAGAGTATTTCACATGTAGAAAGATAAGCTTTCTAAACCTGCTTTTGAAAACTGACACCTGATGTACGTGCAATTCTGTATGTTTCTCTTCATTTTTTCCCAGGTGTAAGAAAGATGTTTTCCCGGTTAAAAGTAGCTGCCACTCCTTGTACTTTGGCATGTCGTCATTTACACAGGAAAGAGAAAGGCAAGCCACTCATGTTAAATCCAAGAACAAACAAGGTTAGTAATGTTAATGCCAACATAAACTTTCTCTCTTCCTGTTAAAGGTTTGAAGTATTTTAGACTGATAAGCCATGAAATTTTGTATTTGATAGCTTCATACTAAAACTTTTCAGAGGGATTTGCTTTCTCTACATGAACTTTTCATTTCCCATGTGACAAAAGTCATGGCTACTTTATGCCTCCTAAGTCTCAGTCTTCACAACTTTTATCACCAGAAAAGGCTTGAGTATTTCCTACTTCTAGCATGCTGTAGCCAGGATTTTTTGGGTAAAATATGGCATATTTATATTTACTTATCTCAAAGCAGGCACACACCCTGGCCAATCAGTTAAGCCTGTGGAGGGTGGGATCAAAATTGTGAGATGAACCTTTAGCTCAGGTCCAGCCTACCCCATCTCCATCCAGCTTTTTGGACACAAATCATCTCACACAAATATTTTTGCCCGTTAATCGGGAAAGTGTTTCAAAGCATAGAGTCCCCTAACTCTTTATTATCATTTTAGCACAGAAGTGATGAGACATATTGAGATCTAATTGTGACTTCCTTCATTACCTAAGCTGGGTTCAGTGAATAGATCCCTCTCAATTGTTTAGTGGCAATATTAGGTAGAAAATATAATAGTTGCAGGTAGTACATATTTTTTTTAATCCTGACATGTGGTATCATCATGTAGCACAGACTACCTTCAAACCCATAATCCTCCTGCTTCAGCCTCCATGCTGGGATTACAGGTGTACACCACCATGCAAGGCTGCTAAATACAATTATTAAGAGGGCTGGAGTTTGCATTTTTACAGCCTGGGTTCCAGTTGCAGCTCTGCTCCTTTTTAACTGTGTGACTGACTCTGGGCAACTCCCCTCAAGTATTTGAAAAATGGCAAGAACAATAGTTTCTACTTCATAATATTTTCTGGGCATTGATGAAATAAGGCTTTTGACATGCTTAGCATAGTGTCTAGCGTGTTGTTAAAAATGCATAAGTATCAACAAAAATGCATAAATAATGACCAGGTCTATTGGTACAGTACATGCTTAGCCATGTGCGAAGTCCTAGGTCCAGTCCACAACGTGCACACACACACACACACACACACACACGCACACACACACAGTAAACAAAAAGCTAAATAAATTATAACTTGTGTGTGTGTGTATGCCTATATGTATGTATGTGTAGATCTGTGTAAATAGTAAGCAAATACATTTCTGGAAAAAGATTGCCGATAAGAATCTTGAAAAAGAATACATAGAGTTTTTCAAAATAAATGAAATATGCTTTTTGAGAAAGGTGCATTTAGATTAAAGATATGACTTATTTTAAAAGAACAATTATGAAAAATTCACATATTTATTTTATGTTATCAGAGAAAAATAATGTACTGCATAATATGACAAGTTTTCAGGGAAAACTACAAAGGGGAATTTGGCCAAAGGTCACACAGAGCACCTCATCTTTGCATTGCAAAGAATGGATATTTAGCAAGCAGTTTGTGAGTGAAATGAAGCTTAATGAAGTATATGCTCCTTCTCTCTTGTTTTTGCCTCACTTCCCCAAATTTTTCTTGCTCTTCAAGATGCAACTCATTCCAAATCAAAGCTGAGGGTGTAGCTTAATGGTAGGCCATCTGCTTAGCATGCTTGAGGTCCTGGGTTTGATCCCCATTACCACCAAGATTAGATTAGATAGATAGACAGACAGACAGACAGTTTTTGGGTAGAGCCTTTTTATACCACTATAGACTGGAGTAAATTGTTCCTTTCTCTGAAACCCTACAGCAGTTTTTATCTTTTCTGACATAGGACAGCTAATCAGTATATGTTACTTTGTGCTTCTTTCATGTTTTAAACTGTTACTTAAATCATTAATGGTATTTGCCTTTCCAAGAGCTTATATCTTCTTGACTGTATTTTAAGTTCCTTTGGAACAGTGCCATTCAAATACTTTGTATCTTTTTCAATGTCTTGGATATAGTAGCCATTTGATAAATATGTTGGTTTAAAATTTTTTTTATTTAAAACCTACCCCCACTGACTTAGGGATAAGAAATTTACAAAATGTATAAAATGGCAAAGGAATTTCAAAGAGGGTAATCTAATGCATTACAGTACTTCTGTGGAGAAATAAAGCTAATGCTGTGGCCTGAAAGCTCTAACGCTGGATAGTGTCTGTGGGTACATCATTGAAAGGCCACTTCTGGAAATCTCTTAAGCATCAGAAAGAGTTTGGTTTGTTTTTTGGAAGTTTCTGTTCAAGAGGGAAGAGTCTAGTGGTTTGTAATTCACAGGTCATGGATTCCTTGGGGACTTACCATGTTAAGAAATCAGGTTTGTGCTTTAAACACTAAGCTGAATTAATAATTTCTTTTATGTTTTTAAATAATGCTTTTAAGAGTTTGTTGCTGCTGTGAATAGTAAAATGTAATTGAAGTCAAGGCTGAATTCTGAACCTTTTTAAATGTGTCTATATCATTGTCTACTAAATGTGCACCTTTATATGTTTATAATAACCATTTTAATCATTTAAAAATATGACATTATGTTCATTGTTCTGCAACTATTACTATCTAGTTCCAGAACTTTATTTTCCCAAATGGAATCCTAGTAGAAAAAGTAGATAATAAATAACTTGAATGTTTATTTTTAGCACAGATTTAAAATTTCTAAAGATAATTATAAGCAATTTTACACTTTAATAGTATTTCCATAGGACAGAATTCTGAATCAGGAAATCCTGGGAGAATTTGTAATGAAGCTTGTTATGATTATAGTTATGAAACTATAAGTAGTTGTTTGATTATAAGATGGGCCGTCTCTGAACTATGTGCATAACATTCTGCCCCCATTTTTTTTTTCACTTTCTTCAAATTCTTCCTACCCCTATATTGGTTGCCTAACAGGAAAGAAGCCAGCATTTTTATTGATGAAGTGATGTGTCAGATGTATAGGAGTCCTTCTGAATGTAAGAAAAAATTGAATACTATTAATAATAGCAAGTAATTCTCAAATTCCTCTTGCCATCTAAACTCTTTATTTTTCAGGCTCCTCTCATAGTAGTGAAAATCTCTTTTAAACAAAATATCATTTTTAAGAAATAAAATCATTAGTTTGGTGGTCAGCTAATGATTAGACTGAGAGTTAAATGTCTGGAACCAGAACTGATGTCCCCCAAGGAGCTTGTGTACCTGTTGGGGCACACCTCTAGCACTTAGCTTGCAGTTTTTAACTACACACCAGACTTTACCTCCTGCTTGCACAGAGCCTCCAGGTTACTCAGAGCTGGGAGCTAATGGCCTTATCTAGTCTTTCCTGGACATGTCTACAGTCATGCCTTCTATATTCCTGAAAATATCTTAGAGCTTTTCAGAGCTCCTCCTCCATGGATATCTCATTCCATAGCTTTTCCTTTTCAGCTTTTTGGTTAGTTTACTGTTTTTTGTTTTGTTATTTTGGTTAGCTTATTGTTTACTTCAAGTGTTATCTACAGTTTCAGGAAGCTGTCCTGCTAACAAATTGCCTCTGATTGTTTTCCATAAGCTCTTCTGAGGGGCAGGGAGATGAATGCTCTTAGTACTGAGTAAGCTCTGAGACAGGTCAGATAAATACAGTCTTGTAGGAGAGGTTTTCATGGAACCACAAGGTGGGTCAAATAATGGTATTTCTTTGGGAATAGGGCTTTGGAAGAACTCCCATCTCTTCTACCCCATCCATTCATTTCCAGGCTGCTAATTTTCAGTGATCTCTGGTTGTTGGTTTTCAAGACTACTATGAAGCTAGAGAGGTGAGGATGGGAATAAGGCAAGTAAAAATGGCATGACACTTGCTGCTCACCAGAATCTAGCTGCTTTTCTTGAATAAGTGACTGTTGCAAGCCATTGGTTATTTCCTAGCATTCTGGAAAAAAAAAAAAAAAAAGTTGATTCTGATCATTTGTCCAGTGTTTTTGTCACTTTTATGAAGGAAAGAATCTTTGGAAATCCATGTGGCAGCATTTTTCCTTATATCACTTGTTTTACAAAGAATTTACCTACAGCTGAGAAACAGAAATTGAAGATTTTCTTCCAGCATAGATTAATTTTTAACTGTATTTTATTAATTTCATTCATAATGTGTTACATGTACCTGCATATAATATGTAGTTTGGTTTGGGTTTTCTAAACATAAAAAGGTAAACAGTGAACATGCTTTGCAAATTGCTTTTATTCTTAAGTGTGTCTTAGAGATCTTTCTACTATGATACATACTTAGAGATAATACATTTAACTATTTCTGTGGTATTTCATGGTAGAAATATACCATCTGCTTCTTATTATATAATTGATGAGCTTTTAGTTGTAACAGCCAAGAGAATTAGAAAGTGTTACAATTAACCTCTACATTTACCTCTTTATTTCATGTCTGAACATTTGTCTGAGATAGCTGTTAGTCATACTGCTTGATTAAAGATATGCATTAAAAAATTTGAGTACTTTAAAGTTACTTTCCAAAAGCCTAAAGTAGCTTACATTCCCAGCAGTTGTATCTCTGAGAGTGACTTTTTCCACAGCCTCATCAATACTGGACGTTATCAGGCTTATAAAATTTTGAAAGTCTCAAGTCTAAAATTACATTTTAAAGGACAATGTCATTCTACCTGAGTAAGCAATAAGTTTAACTCTTGCTTTCTTCTCTTTAGGGAATGGCATTTACGTTACAGGAGCGGCAAATGCTTGGTCTTCAAGGACTTTTACCTCCTAAAATAGAGACACAGGATATTCAAGCCTTACGATTCCATAAAAACTTGAAAAAAATGAGTAGCCCTTTGGAAAAGTAAGAGTTGATGGGATGTTTTTTTTTTTATTGATACTCCCATTTGAAAATATGGGATATTATGATTATTATGGCATGAAAAATACTCAATATCACCATGAAATTTGTGTTTTATCAGTTGGTTACTATTGTTTTTTGGCACTACTGGGGCTTGAACTCAGCATCCCATGCTTGCTGTGCAAACTCTCTGCCACTTGTGCCACACTGCCAGCCCCAGTTGACTGTTGGTTTTATAATTGTTTCCTTCACTTTAGTATTTTACTTCATGTTCACTTTTGTAAAACTTACCAACAACCAATTTTTATGTTAATACTAGAAGCTAATAAATATCATCTAATTTGCACCCATTTCATTCACCAACTTCTGTTTATCATCTGCTTGTGTGTAACACTCTACTGAAGATATAAAGTGAATAGTAGTTCTGGAGGCTAAGAAGTCCAAGAATGAATGGCTGCATCTGGTGAGGGTCTTCTTGTTAGTGGAACTGTGGAGTCTTGCAGTGGCACAGGGCACCAAATGTTATGGGGGCTCACAAAAGATGGCCAAACTGACCTTTATAACAGAACCACTCTCCTGATAACTAACCTACTTCCTCAGTAACCCACTAATCTATGAAAGGATTAATCTATTCCTGAGGGTAGAGTTCTTATGACCCAGTTACCTCCCAAAGGCCCTGTTTCCAAGTACCACTGACATGACTTTGGGATTTAAGTTTCTAACACATGAAATTTGGTGAACACATTCAAACCACAGTAGTTGCCAACTCAGTAATGTATAGCTCTGCCTTCTAGGAGCTCATCTTCCAGATAGTTAGGCTATGGCTGTCACTGTACTCTGTACTACAGTGTGAAGTGCAGTGAAAAATGTACATTCAGGATGTATTCTGAAAGCATGAAGAGGGAACCTAGACCAACTCAGGAAATCAGATGAAGCTTCCTGAAGGAAGTGATGCTGAGCTGAAGTTTTAAAAATATGTTGCAGGTAACAGTCAAAATGAGAAAGAAGGGCAAGATATCATAGGTAGAGGAATCTGCCTGAATACAGGACTGATAGATCTGTTGGTTGTTACATATAAAATGCTACTCGTGGTGAAATGGCGCAAAAGAATTCAGTTGGATTTCATTTGAATTGAAAAATGAATGGGCAGAGAGAAAATATAATCTCAAAACGTTCAATATAGAAAGGGAAAAAAGACATTTAACCATAAGTGAAGGAGGACTTGGTTTAAGTGTTCTGGGCTGAGACAAAGTTGAACAAGTTCCTAGTTGGGAGGAATGAGTCCAGGAGAAAGGAAAATTGCTAGCGCAAAGTCCCAGAGAAAAGAAAAAGGCATAGGGTCAAGTGCAGAGTTAGGAGATAAACAGAGGTATTAGTAACGATAGGTGTGTTGTAATAGAGTAGAGCTGGTTGATGTGAGAGCTTATGACCTTGATTTTCTTTCTGACATAGAATATGAAAGTCATAGCTAAGGTTTAGAAGGGCCAAGGTCAAATAGAGTTGGCAAGGAACAGTGTAAATGTTAGGAAGAGCCTTCTAGTTATGAGGTAAAATTGAACAAGGTTAGACAGGTTGAAAGAATGAAGACATGCCCTGAAGGCCTTGTGGTATAATCTTTGTATTGGTGCTGTTCTTCACAGCAGTGTTATTTTTTTTAAAGCAATGTTATTTAGAGTCTGCTGGGCTGACAAAGGTGTTAGATTACTTCCTTTATCTAGTATTCATTCAGGGCTGTTATGTGGCAGGCATTGTTCTAAGCTCTTGTACTGTAAGAATGAAATTAAACCATTCTACCAGGGAGTTCACTGTGTGGTGGGAAAGACAGACACTGAGGAAGGATGGTGCAATAATAAACATGTAGAGGTTCTTAAATGATAACAACAGTGAGAGATTGTTCAGAGTTACAGAACTGATCATGGGACCTAAAGGGGGAAACAAAGAGGAGCCAGAAGGGAGATAATGGAATGGAAGTAAATGAAGTGATGAAGGAGCTAGAAATCCCTCAAAGAATTAGGAAATAAGGGCTTTGCATAGCTAGCCAAAATGGTTAGGGTTGTGATCAAAGAGTGGAATAAGGGCTTTTAGCATTTCTGAGCTTTAGCAATCCTGGGTGAGGATGGCAGGATCACGTGAGGCATGGGGAAGAGGGACTGAAGTGATGAGAAGGTAAAAGTGGTAACATTAGAGAGGTCAAAGAATTGCACAACTCCCTCTGTCTCATGCCTAGTGTGTCATTTGTTCTTTCCTTGACGGTCCTGCTCTCTCTATCACAAAGCTGCCTTTTCCATCCTAATAGCCCAGTTGTTCAGTTATTTCCTTATAGTGAGGAGAAAATTTCCTTCTTTTAATTTCTATCTGTTGATGTCATTTCTGTCCCCAGAAGCTATATAGAATGTACAATTGTCTAATTTGTTCACCAAATATTTGTATGCCACATACTTTTCTAGCTCCTGAAAATACAGAAATGCAGAAACTTTTCAGCTTACAATGGCGTTAGGTCCTCATAAATCAATCATAAATTTAAAATATTGTAAGTTGAAGATGTATTTAATACACCTAACCCACTATTTATCATAGTTTAGCAGCATAGTCTGCTATAGAGTACCAGTTATTGACTCTTGGGAGCTGTGGGTCACTGCAGCTGCCCAGTGTCCAGAATGAATATTATGCTACCTTATCACAGGAAAATTTCAAACTTCAAAGTATAGTTATCCCTCAGCAGCCACAGGGGGTTGGTTCCAAGACCCCCCGCCCCCATACACACACTAAAATCAATGGATGTTCAAGTTCCTTGTATAAAATAACATAATATTTTGCATATAACCTAGGCACACCCTCCCATTTACAGATAGCCCTCACTTGTGGCTCAATTTCAGATTTTTCAGCTTTACGATAGTGCAAAAATCAAAGTTGAATGCAGAAGAGGTAATATACCAGGGTAGAAGGTAGTCAGGCAGAAGGTGCATCAGATGCAGCACCTCCAAAGTAAGACTTGTGGTGCGTTTGAGGAAATGAAAAACCCAAGCTGAATGAAGAAAATGAGGTTGGAGAGACAGTAGAGGTCTTTTTAAATATTTCAAGAGGTTGAGCCTTATCTTACTGGCATTTGGAAACCACTTAAGGCAAATAGAAATAATCACAGATTGGTGTAGGAGAGGAAAAATGTAGGTGTAAAGACTAGTTAGAAGACTCTTGAGGTAGTTCAAGTGAGAATTATGTGGCTTGGACTGGGCATTAGAGGACAGAGGAAATGGATATATTTGAAAGATACTTAGGTGGTAGGGGCTCTGGTGATTTATGAGATTGGGGTAGGGAGTAGGACTTAGGTTTCCTAATTGGTCAGATGACTGCAGAAGAAACAAGTTTGATGAAAACATATTTAAGGTCATTTTTGGGCCGGATGTAGTGGTAATCCCAGGTGCTCGGGAGATGGAGGTTGGGAAGATCATGCTTTGATACTAGTCCAGGAAAAAAATTAGCAGGGCCTCATCTCAGTCAGTAAGCCAGGCATGTCTGTCATCCTAAATACTCCTCAAAGTCTGAGATCATCCCCAAGCAAAATCACGAGACTACCTGAAAAATAACCAAAGCAAGAAAGGAGTGGAGGAATGGCTTATGTGGGTTGCACATCTGCCTAGAACTATGAGGCCTGAGTTCAAACCTCAGTACTGCAAAACAAAAAAGATCCTCTGGTTTTTAAGTCAGAATTTTTCTTTCCTTTAACCTTTATTCTTTGAAAGAAGTTACTTATATATTTATTTACCGTTGCCTCCTTTGTGTTGCTTCTGTGCTCTGCATAATCCTTATAATGCTTAAAACCCTGCTAGGTTGTAAACTCCTTAGCAGGGATGGCTTTTTATGTCCATGGAATTCAGAATAGTGCCTGGCATAGTGGTGTTTATTCATTTGAATGAACGCCTTTCATTTTGCTTCCTATTCCTTTGTTGGCCTCCTTAAGCTTAGCTCCTAGAGGGTAGGCCTATGGTGATCTTTGCATTTCCAGCGCTTTTGTTTCTCTTATTTTCTTCATCATCACGTACCACTTAAGTCCATCTATATTTTTGATAATTTTTAGTTCTGGGTGTTAAATAGTAATAACCTACAGTTTGGGGAGGTTTTTTTGGGGGGAGAGGGAAGGGTAGATATAGGGAGAGCCTAGTTTTAGTCATTTAAGTTAGCTTTGAAAAATCAAATTTTTAAATGTGATGCAGGCTGACTCAGACGTTTTTTACTGTACTTAATTTCAGGTACATCTATATTATGGGAATACAAGAAAGAAATGAGAAGCTGTTTTACAGAATACTGCAAGATGACATTGAAAGTCTAATGCCAATTGTATACACACCAACAGTTGGCCTTGCCTGCTCCCAGTATGGACACATCTTTAGAAGACCTAAGTAAGGCTTATTTAAAATACATGTGTAAATGATTATAGTATGAGGACAAATAATTCCATAGCACCTAATTAGATTTCTATGTATTGTAGTCTTATCCCAGCCTCACTTTCCACCTCACAAAAGCTTTTTTTGGATTAAGCGGTTAATAAAAACCCAACACATTCATATTCTGTATTTTTGTAGAAATAACATAATTTGTCTCACCCTTCTCTAAATTATATGCTTTTTGTACCTTTCCTGTCCCCCCAAAAGGTCTTAATTCTGGTGGCAGATTCTCCATAATTATTAAACTTTTGGCAATCTGCTATGTTAAGTGATTAGTCCCTTCTCATTTGTCAGCTTTAATTTCTAATGTTTCTTCTCCTTTTCTGTAACCAGTTTTCATGAATTTTAATTTCACATGATTCTAGCACTTGCAAACATTTTAAGTTTAAAGAATACTGGAATGGGTTGTTGTCTCAATTCCTTGAATGAACCATATAACTCCTTTAAATGTGCTTTTTTCATATGTCAAAAAGGGTTAAAGTACCTGTTTAAAAAATATTGAGAAATGGTGGTTCTTCATAAACTTGCATACATGCTATTTTTATTTAATTTGAGGTTTTCTTACTCCTCTAACCTGTTCTCCTCAATCCTTATTCTTTTCCACATGGCCAGCCAACATACTGATAGAAATGTAGACATTCTGAAAAGCGGTGATAGCATTTATCTTCAGTCTCCCTTCATCTAGTCTGGTGTGCATAATTTAGCATGCTTGAGAAACACCTTTTGGACTTATTAAAGATGTTGAAGATGGCCAACTTTCCTCTGTTTTCCATCCCCAAAATTCTGATGACAGAGAAAAAGATCTGGCAGTCTGAATTATATTGAACACCCTCCTTGATTACATTGAAGATATTGTCTGAAAACACTGAGAGGCCACTGTCCATTCATTCTATATGCTGCCATCAACTAGTATGTCTATAAACATTTCTTTAAATATAACCTAGCTTTTTACACTTTTATAGTTTATTAGAATAGTGCTTCTCAACCCAGATTAAAGAATAGAAGGAAATTTAAAACTGCTTGCCTGGGCCCTACCCACACTGACTCTGATTGAAGAATAGTTAAGTTAGTATAGCCTTGGGACCAGGTGTGAGTATTTCATCAGAGCTCCTGGTGGGATTCTCATGTGTATCTAGAGATGACAATGAATACAAGACATAAAGAGCATGGCTTTTGGGTGAGGACAAGTGCTGTATAGTATACTACATATGTTTTTTGGTTTGTTTTGCTTTTACTTAGAAGATGGTCAGTAAACTTTAGTTGGTTGATTGATCCAAACTCTGAACTAATTAAATCAGCATCTCTGATTGGGACTTGGCATTTTAAAAAAGCTCATCAGATGATGTAGCCATGGTTGAGAAACTGCTGAGACTACACTGGTATAAGCTGCAATAATAATGCCAAAGTTTAGATGCCAGAGATAAAGGTAAATTAAAAACAAATTCAAAGGCAGTAGCACCTTCTCTGCCTAACCTGTTTTCTGGAACCTATGTTTCCTTTCTCTATTATTTCTGCCCCCACCCCCTCCCTCCCTTTTTTGAAAAAAAATGTAGATAATCTCAGTTTGATAACAGTACATGTGTTTAACTTTTTCATTAGCCATTCCACAATGTGTACTTCAAAACAGTGTGTTACAGATGATAGTTTTGGTCAACTTAAAAAAAATAATAAATTTAACCTGACTCTTTTTTTTCCTGATGCTTCAAGTGTGTCATCTTGTTTATGAATTTACTGTAATTTTCTTCCCTCCCTTCTTGCTCCTTCAAATTTCAAATTTTCAGTTTCCCTGAGTTTTAAAAGTAGTTTGCTCGGACTTTTTATGCTTTCTTTTTTTGGTGGTTTGTCTTTATTTATTTATTTTTTTTTTTACTGTAAGAGTATTGATAATAGTGTCTTTATAATTTATTAAAATATCTAACTATTCCAATTATGGACAAGAACTTAGAAATAAAAAAACTGTCATGAAATGCAAAGGTGTTTTTGTTCTATTGCAGGGGATTATTTATTTCAATCTCAGACAGAGGTCATGTTAGATCAATTGTGGATAACTGGCCAGAAAATCATGTTAAGGTACTAATAGTACAACCCTCCTTTTCACAATGTTTTTTTTTTCCCTTGTAAATTACCTTTGAATACCCAAGAACAGTGTTTCCTTGTTGCTCTGATTTATGCACTTATATACATGCAGGACTATGCTTTGTGTGTGGGGAGATGGTAATAGTAATAGTTCTAAAATGTTACTGGTATAGAGTTTGATTCTGAGAAAGAAATCTTGAGTCTGCCTACTCTGTATTCCTTTTCTGTTTCACTAGTTATTCTAGATAGAGAAAATGAATTAAAATGCCATAACAACTTCTGGAGGGTATTGGAGAAGATTTTTAAAGCGATGGATTTAGACCCTTAGCAATTGTGAAACTCTCAAAAGAGTTTTAAATGTAGCAAATATAAACCTTAGTCAATGTGGGTATCTTTCATGAAATAAAATGTAATAACTTACTTCAAGATCTTTTGGTAGGCTTTTTTGTTTATTTCAGACAGTAATTCTACTTGCCTTTATTAACTATGTCTTCCTTACATTAATGAAAAATCACTAGTTCAGGTAATCTAGATAAATTTGGTAAGATAATTAAACTTACGATACCATCTTAAAACCTTATATTTTTTACTCTAGATATTTTTCTTTACTGTTGGCAAGATACTTTTTTTTGGTTTGGCCTGGATTATTTTGTTGGGGTAGTACACTGTTTATTTCTAAACTTAATTTTTTATTATAGTAATCTCTTCATCAGAATATTGTTCACTTTTCCATGTTTAGTCTTTTTGAAAATGTCTGAATTGGTTCTCTAGTCAGAATGATTTTGTTCCCAAACCAATGTCAAGGAAGCCAAATTAGTTAATTCTCTTTTTTAATATCTCAGACAAATCCTAGATTAAGTATACTTTGTTAGTTTAGGTTAGAACTTAGCCAAGAAATATGTTTTTTAAGTGAGAGTGAAAGTATGTGAGAAGAATCTTTTTAAAAACGCATTTTAGTGCCCCATTTTTTGACAAATTTTAATTTGCTTTTTATATTTTGTTTTGTTTGTAATTAAGGCTGTTGTAGTGACTGATGGAGAGAGAATTCTGGGTCTTGGAGATCTGGGGGTCTATGGAATGGGAATTCCAGTAGGAAAACTTTGTTTGTATACAGCTTGTGCAGGAATACGGCCCGAGAGATGCCTGCCTGTCTGTATTGATGTAGGAACTGATAATAAAGTGAGTAATATTGTTTCCCTCTTTTATCTTCCTCCTGTACTTAAGAATTATTATATTCATGATAAATATATTGTGTTCATCTTTTAAAGATGATAATTTAAGAAGGGAAAAATCTTGTGATTAGAGGTTAACCCTTAAACCCTGCTTTTAATGTTTATACAAATAATAGTAAATTAAGCCTATTAAAAATTTTTTAGAGAATTGCAATTTTTGCTTAACATGTTTAATAATGTAATAAAAAGTTTTATTTTTTACCTTTGGTTTCTTTTATAGTCACTCCTAAAAGACCCATTTTACATGGGCTTGTATCAGAAACGAGATCGTTCACAACTTTATGATGATCTGATTGATGAGTTTATGAAAGCAATTACTGACAGGTATTTTTCTTTTTTTTTTTGTGGGACTGGATTTTAACTCAAGGCTTTGTGCTTGCAAAGCAGGTGCTCTGCTGCTTGAACAACTCTAGTCCATTTTGATCTGGTTATTTAAAGCGGGAGTTTATTGGGACAGAAAAGAGTAAAGGGGGAGAGTACAGCACCCAGAGTGTGGGGTGGGGAGCATCCCAAGAGAGGGTGATCCTCTGTTACCTTCTTTCTTTTGTCATTTTCACTGGTTTCTTGTTCTCTTTCATTAAATTTGGATGAATTTGTAGTTTTATCCTTGAGACACACACCACACACACACACACACACACACACACACACACACACACACACACACACACACACGTGCTGGAAATCCAGGGTCTTACACATGCTAAGTAAAAGCTGTATGCCTAGCTATACTCCTAGCCCTTAATATATATTTTTAATTGCTACATATTTATGGTAAACTGTAACCTTTGTATATGTGACTTATAAACTCACCTCTGTAGTCTTGTATTTCTAATAGCTGGAATCATCCATTGGTATATTCTGCTACCACTTCATTTTTATGTCTCAAATGGAATTTCTTCTCTTTCCAAACAGAAGTGAATTCTTGCCTCCTCTGCAGCCTTCACAATTGTATGTGGACATAGAATAAGGTCCCTTTTCTCTAATTTGATACTGAAAATTCTTTATCCATTAGCCCCAACCCACTTAAACCAACTTCTCCCTTATCTTTTTTTTTTTTTTTTGGCAGTACTGGGGTTTGAATCACAACCTCATGCTTGGTAAGCAGGCACCCTACACTTGAGCCACTCTGCCAGCCGTTCCCTTATCCTTTAATGTAATCCTTGAAATACATACTCAGACTGTTGAAAATTCAGTCCCTCAATACACCTTGCTTTTCCTTCTACCTCTTTACTTTTTATTCTTTCCTAGATTAAGTCCTGCTTCCTTTTTGGATTTTTTTGTTTGTTTGTTTTCATTAGTGTTTGCTTGTTTTTGAGACAGGCTCTCACTGTGTTGCTCAGCTTGGTCTTGAACTTAAAATCCTCCAGCCTTAGTCTCTTGAGTCCTGGAATATAGGTGTGCACCACCACACCCAATGCAAGTCTTGCCATCTTGTTACTGCTCACATAGGTAGATGACTGACATCTTTTTCTGAATGTCATTTAACTCACCAGGAATCATTTTAAACCACATGTTTAATATACTTTGTTATGTCGTCCATTAAGTGTTATTGTAATGAGACTATACATAGTAAATACATACTTTTTGTTACTCTGAGAGGGTCTCTTCCTTTTTAGGAATAACTTAGTATTTACATATGCTGGGCACCCTCCTAGGTTCTTAGAAATGCCCTATATAGATTGATATCCCCTGAGCCCATTATGCTGCCACATTCTTTTTAAGCACCCCATGAATTTTTTTTGAAGGTAACAGATTTCTACATTTTGAGTCTAGCTTTCACAAGCTCTGAAAATTTTTATATGGTCTTAAACTAATCTAATACATTATTTTTAAATGCTTTGATAAAAAATATTAGATAAAAAGTGTTTAATAGTGGTGTTTCCAACGCTACCATTGGTGTTTTTAGATACGGCCGGAACACACTTATTCAGTTTGAAGACTTCGGAAATCATAATGCATTCAGATTCTTAAGAAAATACCGAGAAAAATACTGTACCTTCAATGATGATATTCAAGGTAAAGCAAAAAGGAAACTTTAGGTTTTTGATTCCTACATTTTAAACATTTATAATGCACCAATTTTTATTTTAAAAAATCTTTGTTCTTATAGGGACAGCTGCAGTTGCTCTAGCAGGTCTTCTTGCAGCCCAAAAAGTTATAAGTAAACCCATCTCAGAACACAAAATCTTATTCCTTGGAGCAGGAGAGGTAAGTTTTTGTAAGCTTTTAAGAATTCATTTATTTTTTGATGGTACTAGGGTTTGAACTCAGGGCATCATGTTTGCTAGGCAGGTGCTCTGCCACTTGAGTCACTCCATCAGCCCTTGTTTGTGATGTGTATTTTCAAGATAGGGTCTCAAAAACTATTTGCCCGGGCTGGAACTGTGATCCTTCTGATCCCTGCCTCCTGAGTAGCTGGGATTATAGAGGTAAGCCACTGGCACCTGGCAGTCTTTAAAAATTTAAAACTAATATTCTCCTTTAGAATTAGAAAGTATGACAGAATGTTGGTGTTTATAAAAACAGCATAATGAGCTTATAATTTTATTGAATTGAATACCTCTTAGAAATTTAAAATATGGTTAGAGAGACTATCATAAAAAATTGATTTTTTGTTTGATTGGTAAGGAGAAAACCAAATATTCTTGTAACATATAATCTCATATATAAAATGATCCAAGCATTACATCATACTCTTGTGGTTTTTTTTTTTGTGTGTGTGTGTTTTGTCGAATAGGCTGCTCTTGGAATTGCAAATCTTATAGTTATGTCTATGGTAGAAAATGGCCTCTCAGAAGCAGAGGCACAAAAGAAAATCTGGATGTTTGACAAGCATGGTTTATTAGTTAAGGTAAGATTTAAAAGTTGGAGAAACAGAAGAGTGTTGTCGATTTGATATTTTAGTTGGACTTAAAAAATATTATCATTTCTTGGCTGGAGGTGTGGCTCAAGTGGTAGAGCAACTGCCTTGTAAGCAAGAAGCCCTGAACTCAAACCCCAGTACCCCCCCAAAAAATAAATTGTCATTTCTTAAAATCTGTATCTCACTAAATTATACAAATTGTACCACTTGTCCAGCCTCACTATCTTTTATTAAGACTCTTGCTTCATACTTAAATCATAATGTCTGTGTTAGCACCAGACTTACTCTTTCTTGCTTTGTTCTCTGGCTCTTAAGATACCAAATAGTCATCTCTTTAAGAGATCATGAAGTATGTGAATGAAAACTCCTGAGGCTTAAATTATACATAATTTAAAATAATAGTAGTTTGGGGTATACCAGATATTGTGAGAAGACATTACATGAGTTGTATATGATTGAATTTGACTCTTCTAAAACTAAATTTTTTTGTGGTTCTCAGGATAGAACACAGGGCCTTGTGCATGCTACAAAAGTGCTCTATCTTTGTGGAGCTATACCTCCATCCCTAAAACTTAAGTTTTTTATGGAATTCATAACATTTTTAGCATTACATCTAATATTTGGGCAGAAAATTTTTTAGCACTTTGGACATCAAAATCCTGTATAACAATATAACAAAAATTGATGGTGCCCTTCCCCTGAAAATAAAGCCATGTATTCCTGAAACCAATTCATGAGTAATGAAGAGCTATTCCAGATTATTTTAGTACTTTTTGGGCCTGCCTGCCTCCTTCTACGTTGATTACTATTTTTATTAGCTTAATGTCATGGATTTTATATTGCATGACATATTGAAATATAGTAAACTGTTTTCATAGTTCAGACTGTCCAGTACATAGCATTTTTGTGTGTATACATTGTAATATAAGACATAGCAATTATTTGCCATTTACAGTTATGAAGCAAACTGTCTCAATGTATTTTCCTGTAGCTCTGAAATCTTTTCTTCTTCATTAGTACCAGAGTCTATTAAAACAAAAAAAAAGGTGAAAAATTAAAGTATATTAGTAAAAATCTTGAGGCTTAAATTGCGCATACTTTTAAAAAAGAGCAGTTTGAAGTGAAAAAGACATTGTGAGAAGACTTCACATATATTTTTCTGATTTAGTCCTCTAGAAAATCCTGTTCCTTTCTTTTCTACGAAGTTGCTTCAAAGTATCAGGGACTTTTCCAAAGTCATTAGCTTGCAATTAATGGATGTAGAATTCAAACCTAAGAAGCTTGTCTGTAAAGCCTGTCTCTGAATCATTAAACCACTGCTCCCCAAGAAGATTGTAACTACCAAATTTGCTAGTATGCAAAATGCAAAGTTTTAAGACCTCACATTTCTAGAAGGCTATTGGAGGGAGGGATATATATTTCTACTGGATGCAGTTTAATGCTTTGTTCTGAAATATTTTCATCATATGTTTTGTGATTCTTTATCATAATGGTATGTCAGGTCTAGAATGGATGTAATGTTGGTAGGTTCAGTGGATTTCCCTAGCACAAGTGAAAATCCTTGTTCATCTGTGGGTTCAGAGTATATATTTCTTTTGGGATGTAGAGATATCTTTACCTAGGGACTTAGACTTCCAGTCCCTTCTAGTGATCCTAATCACTGCCATTCATTTTTGAGACTGAGTTTTCTATTAAACCCCCATACTGGAGAGCTTTGGTAACCCTGGGGGCAAGCAGAAGAAGCTAGTATTCTGAGCACTGGATCCATTGAGATTGTATTTGAGTCCTTTAATTAAGTTCTCAGTCAACTGATGATGGGATGCAGCTTTTTTTAGCACCTTCTTGTTCTTACCTGGGTTTATTCCAAGAGTTCTGATAGAAAAAATTCACTTTGGGCAGGGTTGAGGGGGAGAGCTTTTTACCAAAATGACAATATGGGTTTCTTGTCCTGGTTGGGTTTTGCATTCAGTATGGTTTTTGGTTTAAATCTAAGAAATTCTTCTTTGCTTTAGCTTGTCAGTGTTACTTCTTTTGACTTTGTGGCACTAATAAGGACTAATTTTTATGGTTTTTTAAAACCTGGGATTTAGGTATGAAAGCATTCTTTTTCATTCAGCCATTTTGAACCAGAATCACCTGTTCTTCTTGTTTTTGAACTTTTTCTGGCAGTAAAAGTCCAGGATGTTTGTCTGTAGCTTTGACAATCCAAAAAGTTTTTTTCTTTTTTTTTCGGTGACAAATCTAATTGACCTGAAATAATCTGGTAGAAACACCTGACCTGAGTTATTAAGAAGCTCTTTGTAGTCTTGGCCTTTTTACTTCAGAAAATGTGGGAAGTTGGGGGGCTATATCAGTGGGAAAGCTTTTACCTAGTATTCTCAAGGCCCTGGGTTTGGTCTCCAGTGCTGCAAAAATAAACAAATAAATAAACCTTTTTACTTAGAGTGACTATTCATAAGTTTAAGTTGTGAGATGACCATTTGGTAGGGAATATTCATAACATTTGTTATATTACTACTTTCTAAGATATGAAAAAAATTCCTAACTTCAAAACTGTCTAACCTAGCTAAAGGACTATAAATGCTTGTGCTATATTGAATATAGAAGGACTTCATAGAATGATTGCTTGACAGAAACTAGAAAGTTCCTGGGTGTAATGGGGTATGATTTATGTAAAAGTTTTGGACACTATAAAGTTAGAATCAGAAAAAATGGGTTAAAGAGAAAAATACATGAAAAGACATTTCTGTTGTAGGAACAATATTGTTCCTACATCAATATGAATATGTAACTCATAATGTCTTTTCATTTAATCTTCAGTATGCACTTACTATAAAGAGAAAAATACATGAAAAGACATTTCTGTACAACAATATGAATATGTAACTCATAATGTCTTTTCATTTAATCTTCAGTATGCACTTACTATAAAATACTGTATTTTATCAAAAAACTTAGGGGCGGAGTGCTAAAGTTGATAGCTATCAGGAACCATTTGCTCACCCAGCCCCAGATAGCATACCTGAGAATTTTGAAGATGCAGTGAATATACTTAAGCCTTCAGCTATTATTGGTAAGTAAAGTATTTAATAAATAATAATCCTGTTACTTAACTGTATGCTATCAGTCATAACTACCATGTAAAATTACTAAAAATTAATGGACATATTTTACCCAGTTTTTATCATGTACAGTTGTCTCTTAGTGTCTGTGGGGAATTGGTTCCAAGGCCTACTACAGATAGAAAACCTGCAGGACTTAAGTTCCTTAAATTAAATGGTGTAGTATTTGTATATAATATACGCACATCCTCCTTTAAATCATCTCTAGATTACTTATACCTAATGCAAGGTGAATGCTAAATTTAAAAATGTTGTACTGTATTGCTTAGGGAAAATGACTAAAAAAAAGTCTGTAAATGTTCATACAGACACAGTTTTCTTCTTTGAGTATTTTCAGTCTGCAGTTGGTTGAATCCACATACATAGAACCCCACATAGGACCAACTTTCTGTAGTAGCTTTTTGTTTCCATGAATGAAAATTTTCAGTTAAAATATATAGAGCTGGTGGAGTGGCTCAAGTGGTAGAGCACCTGCCTAGCAAGCATGAAGCCCTGAGTTCAAATCTCAGCACCACCAAAAAGAAAAAAAGACATTACTTATGCTGGGCACAGTGGCTCAAGCCTGTTATCCTAGTTACTCCGGGGGTGGAGATCAGGAGTACCAAGATTTGAGGCCAGCCCCAGCAAGCAGTTAGCAAGACCTCATCTCAACCAATAAAAAAAGCTGGTCACATTGGGGCACACCTGTCATCCCAACTAGGTGGGAAGTGTAAATTGGGTCCCTGTCCAGGTTTGTCCAGGCATAAACTTAAGACCCTGTTCAAAAATAACTAAAGCAAAGCTCATTGCCGGTGGCTCAGACTGTAATCCTAGGTACTCAGGAAGCAGAGATCAGGAGGATCTCCAATCAAAGCCAGCCCAGGCACATAGTTCATGAGACTCTATCTTGAAAATGCCCAACACAAAATGGGGTTAATGAGTGGCTCAAGTTGTAGAGTACCTGCTTAGCAAGCATGAGGCCCTGAGTTCAAACCTCAGTACCACCAAAAAGAAATAACTAACTAAAGCAGAAAAGGACTAGTTGCGTAGCTCGAAGCTATGCAATCGATCATGAATTGCTTGTATCCTCTTTTCTATGTCCTTTCCTAAGGGATTCCTTTTTTCTTTTTTTTTTTTTTTCTTAAAGGAGATGGGGTCCCATGCCAGGTGTGGTGGAGCCTGTAATCTCTAGCTGAGGCAGGAGGATTTTGAATTCCAGGCCGGCCTGGGCTTCATAGCTAGACACTGTCTTTAAAAAAATAAATAAAAATCAACAACGGAGAGAGAGACAGACAGACAGAGACAGAGCTTATTGTGTTAACCAGGATGGCCTTGAAGTTCTAAGCTGACATGGTCCCTGCTTCAGCCACCCAAGTCGCTGGGACTACAGATGCACACATGCTCACCTGACTCTTTATGGTGCTTTACTCTTAGAGTTGTTATGACTGTTGGGCTCAAAAAGACCTTAAAAAGACCAACACCAAGGTTGTTGCATACTGTACCAGGAAAATCCAACAATGCCAGGTTTTCAGGGGTAACAAAGCTGAAATTTTTCAATGTGTTTTGAGATAGGAATTGCATTTTCTCAGCAAAAAAATGTAAGTCTTTAAAAGAGTAGCTATTTGATTCATATGTAGTTATAAGTTTGAATGGACAATCTTGCTTGATTTTATCAATTTTTTGTGTTTTTGGTGGTCCTGGGATTTGAACTCAGGGCTTCCCACTTGCTAGGCAGAAGCTCTACCACTTGAGCCACTCTGCTAGCCCTAAGTTAATGGAGGATCTTTGCTGAATGTTAAATAGTAAAACATAATCACAGTGAGTTCTTATGACTGGGAAAATTAACTAGTTTCTTCACTGATAAAAACTTCTAATTTTTTTTATAGTGAGAAGAAATCTTTAAAGGTTCTCTAGTCCATTACTCTCAAAACTGGGTGGAAACCTAAGAATCTGCCCATTGACTGTACCTCTGAGAGTCAAGGAAACAATCAGAAAAAAATGAGAGATAAGAGCTCAGCTAAAGCATCACTTAGTTATCTGAAAATTCCCTCCATGGCCTAAATGTTCTTCCTTCATCTGTGCTTCCACAGCTCTGCACGCTTTCATCTTAGTACCTGTTGAAAAGTTTTTGAATTTCTGTTTACTTTGTTGTTGTTTTCTTAATATAATCTGCCAATATTACATGCACTTTTATATCCTGATGGTCTAATACATTATCTGAGACATTGTAGAGCCTTAGTAAAAGGTAAACTCAACTGTATCAAAAAGTTGATTGCCATAGTCAAGATGATCTTTTATCCCTTCTCAATCCCTGTTATTTTGTAATGAGTACCACAGAGTTTAACATTTGAGACAAGTTTTATCTTTTAAAAAAATTTTAACTGTGGTAAAATACCACGTAAAATTTACCACCCTAACCATTTTCAGTAGCAATGAGTACATTTCCTTCTTGTACAGCCATTCGCTACTTCTCTTCATCTTAGGAACCTCTAACTCTGCACCCACTTAAGAGTAATTCCTCCAGCACCTGGCAGCCACCATTCTACTTGCTGTCTCTGTGAATCTGACCACGTAGGTACCTCTGATAAGTGTAATCATACAGTATTTTTGTCACTGGCATATTTTAATGTCCTGAAGGTTCATCTATGTTGTAGCAAGTTTTATCTCAGAGAGAATAATGGAGGTAGTCTTCTCCTCTTTTTTCTTTTGCTTTCCCATAATTTACTGCATATATGGTAGACAGTAAATATTTAAGTGACAAATTTCGGCATTTCATTGTGTTCCCAAAATAATCTTTTAACAATACAAAATCGATCTTTGTAATGAGAGGTTAAATGTGGTTTTTAAATGGTAAATGTATTGCAGAAACACTGTTGGCAAGAATTACTTTCATATACTTGAGCTGAAGTTGCTTTTTTCCCCCTTATTTTATTGCAGGAGTTGCAGGTGCTGGCCGACTTTTTACTTCTGATGTAATCAAAGCCATGGCCCGTATCAATGAAAGGCCTGTGATATTTGCATTGAGTAATCCTACAGCACAGGCTGAGTGCACACCTGAAGAAGCATATACACTTACAGAGGTATGAATCAGTGGCAGTCATATGATTGGTTATAGCTGTTATTTTCCCTCCATTACCTTACTAGTTACACATTCTTTTATAATTCTTTAGTGATTTTACTAGAGATTAGAACAGGCATCCATGAATCTATATACCAAAGTCTGGCATAGGACAACAGTTACCTTCTCCATTTTTTTTTTTAAATTTACCTTTTTTTTTTAGTTGGTGGTACTGGTAGTTAAACTCAGGGCCTTTCACTTGAGTCACTCTGCCAGCCTAACTCCATTTTAATGCACTCATGCTATCTGCGCTATTATAGTTTATATATTGTAAACTCAAAAGTCATTATTGTTTTTATAGAGAAATTATCCATTTAAATTTACCAACACTGAAGTGCTTTCTGTCTTTCTTCTGCAGTGTATGTCTGTGCCTGTAGCTAGGATCATTTTGCTCCTGCCTGAACTCCTTTCCTTAAGTGTGGGTCTAATGAGTTCTCTTCACAATTTACTTCTTTTACCTTCATATTGAAAGATATTTTCACTCTGCTTAGAAGTAAAAGCTGGCACTTTGTTTTAGTACTTTGAAGGTATTACTTTGTATTTTCTGACTTCTGTTTTCCTTTTGGGGAGGGGCAGTAATGGGATTTGAGCTCAGGGCCTCTTACTTGCTAGGCAGACACTCTACCACTTAGGCCATGCCTCGAGTCCTTTTTTGCTATAGGTTATTTTCCAGATAGGGTCTTGATTTTTTGACCAGGGCCAGTCTCAGACTGTGATCTCCTACTTAGGTAGGATCCCAGGCATGCACCACTATTCCCAGCTTGTTTTTGTTGCAATGAGGTCTCATTATTCTCACCCATCCCCATTCCCAGCTGGCCTCTAATTATGGTCTTCCTGATCTCTGACTCCTGAGTAGCTGGCATTACAGGTGTGAGTCACCACACCCAGCCAGCATTCTTTTTTTTTCTCATTGTGAAAGATGTTATGTTGACACATATTATTTTCTCAACTCCTTTTGCTTCAGAATTAATTCTCTTGACTATTGGCTTACAATAGTAGTTATTGAAATGCTTTCTTCAGTCACAAGCTGGGGAGTGTGGCTCAAGTGGTAGAGCACTTGACTAGTAAGTGCAAGGCCCTGAGTTCAAACCCTAGTAGCATCAAAAAACAAACAAACAAAAAACCACACACATACATATGCACAAAATCAGAATAAAGATATTTTTAAAAGTCAGTCTCTTTAGTGTACTGTCTTATCTTTTTACCAAAGTATGGTATTGCTTTTAGCTTGATTATCTATCCTATCCACCAGATTTTTTGTAAAACTGATGGCATTACCCCACAAATAAGCCATAATCTTACACAGTGAGTATGTGGTACATTTCCATTGTATCACATGCTTTGGCATTTCCAAAATATAAAAACCTGAATGTTTTGAGCAGTAGTAGTATGTCCATAGAGGACTAACTGCTCAAATATTTAAGAATTTTAATTTTAATAAATATTATTGAAGTAAATGTACATTGTTGGAATGAATAAAAACTTCCCAAGGAAACTACTTTGATATATATATACTGTATTTCATTAGTTTTAAGATGCTGACTTTTTCAGTTTTTATAACTTTGAAGTCATGCTGTCTCTTAAAAAAATGAAGAGTATGAATCATATTGACATGAATTCTTTCCTGGTGTTACATAAAATAATGGCGTCAATTTTTGTGTAGCTGCATTTACCTCTTGAATTTTTGGTGTCCTAGTTTCAGTGGAGAGATCTTGATCTTGCATTAACACCCTCTGCTGTTCAGTGAGGAAAGTACTTTTTCATTTCTTTCTTTTCCTGAGAATGGGGGTCGTGTTGTGTTGTTTTGGCTGGCCTCAAACTTGTTATCTTTTCCCTTAGCCTCCTAAATAATGGATTACTAGAGAAAAATTTAACATGTCTTCATGTTTTAATAGCAGTTGTTCAAATTGGCCAGTTGTACTTAAGCCGTGCTTAAGCTCTAGATTAATTATGAGGCAAAAAATAAAGCTGGCCCAAGAAGACGAACTGCTGTAGGATCTTGCCATCCTAGAGGGATTCCCAGTATCTTCCTTAATCTCCAAACTTATGTGAGGACATAACATTTTCCCATAAAGTGGTATATTGTGCAATCCACTTACTAAGGCTATTACATTTACTGGTGCCACAAAAGTGTTTTATTGTGTACTCTATTATGGTAACATGTATGACATTAGCCATAAATTAACATTAATCTTCAAAGAAACAAACTTTTTGCCACAGTTTGAGCTATGTTTAGAACAGGTAGAAAATTATAGCAACTGTCTGTAGGACAGGAAATCTGTGTAAGTCCAAGATAGTCAGCTGGGCCATTAGCATAGTTAACTTGCTACTTACTATGCTGAGTATTGCTTTGAAGTTGAAAGCATGCATGTGGTGCTGAAGTAGTGCTGACTGTACATCACGGACCTCAGATTGCCCAGTAAGCTTCGCGGGTGATGTGTCCACTAATGCCCAGGACCTAATGTAAAGAATAATCAGTCATTAGTCTTGGTGTCATGAACATGTTCGGATTTGAGAAAAACAAGACAAAGCAGTAGCTGCACACTTTAAATAACTGCTAAGTGTTTAGGTGTCTTGGCACTTGCTGTGTCCTGTGTGGAGGTATGTCAGTTTTCTGTAAATCATCTTTTAACCTCACCTTAGTGGCTACTTAGCGTGATTTGATTATTCCTTGAGCATCCAGGGAATAAATTATCCTTTTTGAGCATTATTGTTTTCTTCTTGCCCTGTCTTTTTTTGTGGGGTTGTGGTGGTGATAAAAGATTTTGTTTTACAAATTAAATTTCTAGTCCTTTGCAATTGCAAGGACATGTAATTCTTTTAGAAATAGTGAAGGTGAATTAAGGGTGTAGCTCAAGTAGAGCACTCCTAGCAAGCACACGTCCCAGTACAATGGAGAAAAAAACTGTGAAGGCACCAAAAACATTTATTGTATGCTATTATAAAGCATAGTACTACAAAAAATTGGGAGACTTTCCTTTTTGTTACTCTGTTTTTTGAGATAGGCTCTTGCCATGGCCTTGAACTTAGTGTGCAGCCCAGCTGGCCTCGAATTTTTGATCCTCTTACCCCAGCTTCCAGAGTGCTAGGATTATAGACCTGCCCCACCAGGCTCAGAAAGGCTTTTGTTTAACAATGCAACATGACGTTTTTTTTCTGAAATGATAGTGCAACTATATCGTATGCCTATTTTATAAACTGACTGCTGGTGAATATTACAACATAATAAAAAAAAAACATGGGTTTTGGGATTTTAAAATATTTGTATTCAAGTTTAACTGCTACAGATTTAATGTGCAACAGTTTCAAAGGACTTGAAAATATCAAACGCTTAGTTTCTGATTCTTTTAATTAGTGGAATGAAGATGGTGACAGTACATAATACTGGAGTTTGAACTTAGGGCCCTGCACTTGCTAGGCAGGCAAAAAGTTTATTAATGGACATTTTTCAACATTATTTAAATGCTTTCTATGCATGAAACCAGCCTCATTTGAATAAAATAACCAGCCTCATTTTGGTGAAAGTAAATGGTATCTTGTTCTTGGGTAATTTATTGGTGTAATTTACTGCCAGACTTAATTTTGTGTGAGTTCACCTTAGTTTTCTCATCCACTTTGTGAAGTAACAAAATTCAAATTATTTCTTTTCACTTTCAGGGAAGGTGTTTGTTTGCCAGTGGCAGTCCATTTGGGCCAGTAAAACTCCAAGATGGACGAGTCTTCACACCAGGTCAAGGAAACAATGTCTATATTTTTCCAGGTAAATGCCACCATTATTCATATGATAGATCAATAGTTAATTACATAAAGATACTTCATAGAATTCTTCAGAATTTAAGGTTAAAATGAGCAACAAAATTTGCAGAATTTTGGTATGAATTTGCAGAATTTTGGTAGGGAAACTCAAGGAATCCAGCAGATCCATCTTACACTATTTTCTCTAAAAAATGTATTCATACTGTTAACTAAACTTGTTTTTATTCTAGAAATAAAATGGTACATGGTTGTTAAAAATGCAAAGGAACAGAATTGTGTAACACTATTTGACCTTCTGTATCTTCTCTTGATACTTCCTCATCACTTCCCAGATGTAACTACTGTCATGGTTTGCTGTGACTTTGTCTGTGATTATAGTCATATCCACTTATTTCCCTTTAATGTGATTATTCTAAGTCAACTGTGAGCTTCCCACTGTGACGATAGGTAATAGTGCACATGTCTTCTGATACCTTTCTTCCTCTACCACTCAACTTGTCTTACTACTTTGCCTCTCCTGAGTAGTTACCTTTGGTTTTGTTTGTTTTTTTCTTTTTACCTTTGTTTTTATAACATATATAAGGAAATTTTTTTGGCAGTGTTTTTACTAGCTTGCTAAATGAAAAAAAGAAATTGACATTTAGTTTATCTTATTCTGCCTCTCAATTCTCATTTTTGGTTATTAATATTTCCACATTGTGGAAAATTTGATTTTTTTGAAATAGGGTCTTACTGTGTAGCCCAGGCTGGCCTTGAACTTACTATCCTCCTGCCTCAGCCTCTAGCGCTTGGATTACAGGCAAACTTTTTTACATTTACATTGTTTTTGTTCATATCCATGCTTTGTCTGTGGCTTGATGATGATTATTCAAAACAATGATTATAAAAAGAAAAAATCCACAATAATGTAAATGTTATTTATCAACTAGACTGTGACTTGATGAGTGTGCTGGAATACACTAAATCTTGAGTACCATTAACTCTTTGACACTCAAAATATTTCAAGTATAAAGCATAATGAGTCCCCTTTTAATCTTTTCCCAGCCTTCATTTCTTTTTGGTAACACTGCAACAAACAATTCTTATATCCCACCTTCTCTTTCCTAAGAGGTGTGCTAATCCATTCTGTTTTGTGATTCTGGAATATACCTTTGAGCAAACTTTTTTTTTCCCTAAAGAACACATAAAAACTTCCTGAGTTTTTACAAATCTGTAAAGTAATTTTGTCCTCTTACTTGGTAATTTGAGTAGAGATTTGTAAAGTCAAGAGAGTCGTACTTAGATCTTTGCACGCTGTCCTTCACTCACTTTCAGGGAAGGCCTGTGATGGCTGGTGAGAAATCTGAAGTCATTGAGATTCTTATTCCTTTATACATAGAAGTTTTTCTCTTTCTCAGTTTTTACAGTTTTGTCTTTCAATTTCTGAAAGGTTATTGGGATGCATGTAGGTTTGGGTTCATTTCCATTTATTGTGTGTATATGTGGGTGAGCCATTTCACTATGAAAACACATCTTTTTAAAAAAAAAATTTTACTTTTTTTTTTTTCCCATTTCTTTCCTTCCATAATTTTTTTTCCTCATAGAACTTAGTTAGACCATGGTTGCATCCCTCTGTTGTCATTGACTTTCAAATTTTATATTTTTGCCTTGCTTTTTTTATTCTATAATGTGGAAGGCTTCTGTGGTATTCACTCATTCATCTATGTCTGCTCTGGTTTTTTAGCACTTCAGTATATGTTTTAAGTCTTCTTAAAGCAAAACAGATATCATATAATTTATTTGTAACTACTTCAGTATTATCTGACAAACTGAGTATTTTAATTTTTTAAACCTAAGCACAATACTTACATCACACCAAAGGAGAGTAACAATAATTGCTTAATAGCATATGTTATCAGTTGAGTGATTGAACAGATTTTTTTTTTTTTTGGCAGTATGGGTCTTGAACTCAGGACCCCAACACTTGCTAGGCAGGCACTCTACCACTTGAGCGACTCTGCCAGCCCTTTTTTGTGTTGGGTATTTTCAAGATAGTGTCTCTCAAAACTATTTGCTGGGGACTGGCGTTGAACTGAGATCCTCCTTATCTCTTCCTCCTGAATAGCTAGGATTATAGATGTAAGCCACCAGCACCTGGCTAACAATTTTTTTTTTTATTCCTAGTACTTTTTTGATTTTAGAAACAATTGTTTTTACTAGCTCCTTTAGAAAAAAAATTGCATGATTTTTCTTTCATGTCTCTAAAGATATTTCTTCCTTTGTGCTGTTTGCTTTCTTGTTTCCATAAATTTCTTATGACCTCAGTTACCCATTTTATTCTTTTTATTTTTTGCATTGCTGGGGATTGAACCCAGGGCTTCACACATGATAAGCAAGTGCTGTACCACTGAACCACACTTATTTTGAAGAAAGACTTTATTGAGCAAAATAGGGGTTTGGCATGAATTCCTTTGCATGTGTGTCTTCTTTCCTCTTGTAGAGGAAGGCTCTAATTAAGATCAGACAAGTAGATGCATAGCATACATAGGCTGTCATCAGGCAGGCATGTTACTGCTAGTGTCATAGTAAAGATATTTATTCCTGTAATTCCAGCACTCAGAAGGCTGAGACAGGAGGATCTCAAGTTTGAGACCAGCCCGAGTTACATAGTGAGTTCAAGCTGAGACTCTGTCTCAAATAAAACCCCAATAAATATATAAATAGATAGATATTTAGCCTGTCAGTATCCTAATGCTTTTTTATATAACATTCTTCTTTTCCCCCAATGTGGTTGTGGTTGTGGTTGTCTTTTTTTTTTTTTTTTTGGTGGAACTGAGGTTTGAATTCAGGGCTTCAAACTGAAGCAGGCACTGTATCACTTAAGCCACACCTCCAGCCCATTTTGTTCTGGTTATTTTGTAGATGGGGCCTCATGAACTACTTTCCCATGCTGGTCTCATACTGTGATCTTCCCAATTTTAGTCCCCCAAGCACTAGGATTACAGGAGTGAGCCGTCAGTGCGCAGCTGTGTTTGTCTCTTGACACCTAGAAACTCCCATCATCAATAATTTCTTTCTACAAATTGATAGTATTTAAAAATAAACCTATTCTATCTGATAGTATTTCTATACATAAAGGCTTGAGAGGACTTTCTCATGCTCTTAACAAGCCCAAGCCATTTTTCATGTCGTACTTGACTGTTAAGGAATTTGACAGTTGATTATTTTTATGCAACATTTTGTTTTTATTAGCATATTACAGTTGTACAAGAGATACATTGTGATAGTATACATCTTAATTGTATTTGCTCCTTCCATCTTTCTCCTTTATGCCCCCTCCTCCCCTTCTTAGAATAATTTCAACAGGTTTCATTGTTCTGTTTTCATATGTGAATATAAAATACTCGCATATTCGCCCTCCTTCACCCTTTCCTTATATCCTCCCCCTTCCCACTGATACCTACTCCTGGACAGGACCTGTTTTACCTTCCTGTCCTTCATTTATTAAAAAAGAACATTTTTGTTAGTTTATGATAGTTATATGGAAGGGGGGGTGTTTCGTTGTGACAATTCCATATATACATGTTTTATATTCCGAATTGGTTCATCCTCTCCATTATTCTCCATCCTTCCCTATCCCTCTCTTAATGGTGACCTCACCAGGTTTCATTGTTCCATATTTATACTTGTATAAAAGTATGTCAACCATATTCACCCTATTTACTTTATTTACCCTCCCCCTCTCACTAGTGTCCTCTCCTGTTTTACGTTTATGCAACATTTTAAAGTTCTGACTTTAATGAAAATTGCTAACATTATAAATGTAGACATGAAAAACTACTTAGCAGCAGAGGTAAAAATGGATAGGAGAATTGACTGAAAGTCTGTACATAAAGAAAATAAAAACTTAATGCTCTGATAATGTTAGATTTACTAGTCCTGTCACCACAGCAACTGGATAACATTTTTTAGAAAGACAAAGAGGAGCCTAAAGCCTAACACTATATTGACTCATAAAATGGGGAATTCCAGATGAGATTAGGGAAAGAACCAGAGTTTAGAAAGGTGAGCCAGCATTTGAAGCCAGCTTTGCATTAAAAGCACTCTGTGATCAGGAAGTGGCCCAGAAGTAAAGCTGTGTTTTTCATGGAGAAAGGACAATATTAGCACCTCATCCACGTCTGGTGAACACCCTGCTGCCAGGGCTGAAACCCTTCAGGACTGTACCTTGGCATGGGGTGAGGCTTGCAGCAGTGAGGGCCATCTCAGAAACCTCAGGACTTTTGTTCTGGACCTCCACGCCCCAGAAGCAAACAAAAACCTTCTGAATAACACTGTCCTAGTCTTCAAATTCTTTTTATAAAGAAATGCCCAAATACAACCCCCATTTTAAAAAGAGAAGCCAAACCCAGCAGAAACCACAAGAAAAACAGGCATGCTGAAACTCTGCATGTAAGACAGTGCTTATTATGTTTATAGAGAGGAAAGCATGCTTGAAAACTTCAGCCAGAAGTCACTAGATTCTAGAATTGAAAATAGTAATCTAAATCAAGAATAAAATGAATGAGGTTTATAGCAGATTAAACCAATGAAAAGAAATAATGCAGAATAAGCACAGAGAGAAAAAAGAATTCTTGGAAGAAAACAAGTGAGAATGAAGCAGAGGCAGGAGCTGCGAGCTGCATGGCTGAGGAGTTCTTAGTACTGTTAAGTAGTAAGCAGTGCTCAAGAACGCACTGTGCAAGTAAACCCATGCCCAGGAGCCTCCTTGTGAGCCTCAGAAAGCCAGAGTGAGGAGAAAATACGAAAGCAGCCTGGACACAACTATTTCCTTCAAAGGAGCAACTGTGAGGTGACATGTAACTTCCCAACAGCAGTGAGATGCCCAGAGGCATAATGATATGTTGATACTGCTTGCAGGAAGAACTCGCCAGCCTAGAATTCATCACTGATTATGGTATCCTCAGGTATCAATTTCAGCTAAGGCAAAATGAAGAGTTGAAGCAAAATAGACAACAGAATTCACCATCTACAGACTTGTAGGAAAGGAAAAGAAACCTTGGTCTTTAGGCAGAAGGAAAACAATGCCAGATAGAAGCTCAGAGATGTAGGAAGGAATGAAGAACAAAGAAAGTTGAATGTGTGGGTAAGACAAAATGAAGGTTGTTTATAGACAGCAAAACAATGACATGGTGTTTTTGAAAATTATGGAGCGTGAAGGTGCATAGCAATATTTCTGAGTTAAATACAATGAAAATATTATGAGATGCTTGTGTGGTCCATCAGGTACATTAAAGTAGGGGTCAGGCAGTGTGATGCACATGTGTAATCCTGGCTGTTAGGGAGGTGAAGATCAAGGCCAGCATCAGCAAAGAGATGCCATCTCAACCAACAATCCAGGTATGGTGGTGCACATCTGTAATCCCAGCTACGAGGGAGGCAGAAGTAGGAGGATTGTGGTCCAGGGCTGGCACAATATATATATGAGAAACAACCAAAAGCAAAACAAGGTGGCAGCATGGCTCAAGTGATAGAATGTGAGGCCCCGAGTTCAAACCCCAGTAATATCAAAAAAAAAGAAAAAAGGAAATTTTTATAAAAGGTACAAGTTATAAATGTTAGAGTAACTGTTAGAATAGTAGAAAAAGTTTACAAGAGAATGTTAGGGGATAAAATGAAATTTTTTAAAAGAGGCAAGAAAGTAGAGAAAAGGAACATAGAATAGGCAAGACAAATAGAAGAAGACAGTACACCTAGCCTCAGACATTTAAATATCTACCTTCAATGGAGATGGACAAAATGCTCTACCTTAAAAAACTATCTCTGTGTGTGTACGTGTTTGTGTGTGTGTGTGTGTGTGTGTGTACGTGTTTGTGTGTGTACATGTTTGTGTACGTGTGTGTACGTGTGTGTGTGTACGTGTTTGTGCGTGCGTGTGTGTGTGTGTGTGTGTGTGTGTGTGTATAGAAGCTGCTTTAACAATCATGTGACCCTCCTCTAATCCCTGGGTAATCAAATGATCACCCTTCCCATCTCAGCCAAAAATGGTAGGATATTTTTTAATAGAGTAAAACAGAATATCTAAAGTGGGAGATACCACACACAGGTGAGGAGCTAGAAAATACGAAGGGTAAAAGAAACCAGGTCACTCTACTTGCTGCTCAGAGCAGAGGGTGGGCACCTCCACCCTCATGCTTGCAGCTACCACCCTTTTTTTGTTTTGTTTTTTAAGTTCTTTTTAAGTTTAAAAAAAAAAAACCTGTAAATATCTTCATGGAGAGAAAATGTTATATTCCAAAACAAGACAGAATTTTGTTCCTAAATAATGTATACACATGTAAGTAAATGTAAAATGATAAAATTTTAAAACACATCCTAAAGTTAAAAAAATTGTTTTAAAAAAAAAACCTGGAAAAAGAAGCTTTTGAAAATGAAAAGTTGGCAGTAGAAAAATTAAAAGAACAAGGTTGAGGAAGTCATCTAAGATAGGAGATGGAAAATAAGAAAATTAGAGTGTAATTCATGAGGCACAATATTAGAAAATAGAAATTTCAGGACATAAGAACAGAAAACTGGGAAGAAGGGCATCATCAAAGCTTTCACAAGCATTTCCTAAAGTGGAGGACTGGGGTTTTTCGACCTGAAGGGCTCGCCACTAAAAGTCAAGTATGGTGATAAAGACGCTCCCCAGGCAGTTAGGAAAATCACAAAAACAAGATCCTGCAGGCTTCCAGAGATGAAACCAAAGACAGTCACCCAAAGAGAGTCTGCAATCAGATTGCCATCTTGTCACCAGCACTGAGGGCCAGGTACCTAACAGTTCTGGAGGAAATTTCCAAGCTAGAATTCCAAACCTAGTAGTCTGTCTAGAATTTGTAGACAGACTATGAAGTAAGTGGAAAGAAGTAAACACATTTTCAGAAACGCAAGGTTTCCAAAAAATGTATCTCATTTCACTGTTTTTTAGAACACAACAGGAGGAACTTGCCTTGCCATAATGTAACAAAAAACTTTTCTTAGAAGGGGATTTAGGAGGTGACTCAGAAAGAAGCAGAGTCCCCATGCTGATAATGCGGCTTCTGGAATGGCAGCTCTGAACTGGAACAGAGAACGACTTGACCAGATTGGAGCTTCCGCAGAGGTTTATGCTGGAGGGTGAAATTAGAGAACATAGGAGGTTGCCACAGCAGAAGGTGATTTAGACAATTGAAATAAAATGTCAACTACTGAAAAATCAAAGTAAAGGGAAAAACAGAACAATAACCAGAAAAGACAAAAAATTACGCAAGAAGAAAAGTAATCAATCCAGTGTTAATACATGACTTAGATGTGAATAGCATTTATGAAGTCGTAACAACATACACATTGTCGATGGAACCAAAATTATATCCTAACTATATTTGGGAAGAAAAGAGAGAAGGCTAGAAATATAAAACAAAGCTAAATACTTATTTCTCATAAGAGGAAACTGATGATCTCCAAAACTCAAAAATCAGAAGAAAGACAAGCAAGTTAAGAATGAGAGAAACATTAAAATAATGAGCTAAAAGAATCGAAAGTAATTGCTCTATAGAGCAAGAAAAGGAGGGTTAAAGGGTTGGGAACTGGTGTTTTTTGTCACAGATTGATGAGTTGTATGCATTTGTAATTTTGATAAATAATGGAAAGCCACTTATTTCTAAGATTATTTCTTCAATGAGTAGGAAACAGTTAACAAGGATCATTTGATTTCATTTTAATTCAGATTTTTGTTTTTTTAGGGGACGGCGTATTTTACCATTTATTTGCTTCAGGATAGGAGTTTGGCCCCTTTCATAATTTGAAAAGTGCCTTACTAAATAAACTTTAAAAATGTATTCTAGGTGTGGCTTTAGCTGTTATTCTCTGTGAAACCCGACATATCAGTGACAATGTTTTCCTAGAAGCTGCAAAGGTAAATGTTTTAAGTGTTGTTTATTTTGTAAAGAGTAATTTATAAAGATGAATGGATCTTACAGCAGAGAGAATGGGTTAAATCTGCCTTCTTAATGAAAAGAAAGTTATCTATTCATTACTTTTTTATTTGCTACTTCTACATTAATTTTTTTAAATAATGACTTCAAATGTCTATAAGCTATGAATCCTTTCCTGTTCATAACATCTAAATTGTATCTATTTTACATAGACATATTAGTGCGTATGTATATGTAATATAGAAGTAATATTTTGACAGCATAGATGAAATACAACTTTTTCCATATCTGTAATAGACAAACACTGGTATTATTTGGTGTATTATACTGGAACTCCTGTTGGCGCTCTGGTCGGCAATAGGATGCTGAAGAACTCAATTTAAATACAAATGCTGGTGTCTGTTTTCTTAGCAGCTGTTATAATTACACCAAGCTCTATAAGTACTAAGCAGAATGTACCAGAAAGTCTTAAACTTGGTCATTTCTTTATTGTTTAGTGGGGGAAACTTTTCATTCCTCCAGTGCGAGAAATAAGAATTCAGGTCTCTATTTTTCTGAGCCTTCAGTGCTTTCTCCATTTTATTAAATCTGTCTGTTAATTAAACAACACTAAGATGCCGTTTTCTTTTCAGGCACTGACAAGTCAACTCACAGATGAAGAGTTAGCCCAGGGAAGACTTTACCCACCACTTGCTAATATTCAGGAAGTTTCTATTAACATTGCTATTAAAGTAAGTAATTCATCTCTTCACATAAAATTTAATAACGTTTTCTTGCACAAATAATGCAAGTTCATTAGAGTAAATTTGAAACATTTATAAGGGTACAAAAAAGAAATTTTAGTTCACCTATATTCTTACTACCAGAATATATAGCACGTTACTATTTGGGGCTTGTTACCTCCTAGTCAGTCTCTCTCTCTCTGTCTTTTCAGAATACTAGGATTTGAACTTAGGGCATCACACTTTCTAGGCAGGTGCTCTACCACTTGAACCAAGCCCCCAAGGGCTTTTTGCTTTGGTCATTTTGAAGATGGGTTTGCTGTTTATGTGCAGACAGGCCTGGATCATGACCCTCATATTTTATCCTCCCCCATCACAGGGATGATAGATGTGTACCACCATACCCAGTTTTTTACCACTGAGATGGTGTCTCAGACTTTTTTGCCCTGCGTGGCCTGAAACTGCAGTCTTCTTGAAATCAGCCTCCTACACCCAGCTTTTGGTTGAGATAGGGTCTCAACCTCCCCAGTAGCTAGCATTACAGGTATGAGCCATTGGTCCCTGGCTTGTGTCTTTTTTTCAGGCAGGGTCTTACTCTGCAACCCAGGCTGGCCTCAAATTCACAATCCTCCTGCATCCTCCTTCTCTGAGTGCTGGGATTAAAAAGGAGAGCAGTCCAAAGTGAAAATAAGTAGGAGACAGGGATCTTGGTAATCTCATTGAGGAGTCTGGAATTCAGATTTGGGGGGGGTGGAACACATGGCTCTGGAGGTAGAGTGCGTACCTAGCAAGTGCAAGGCCCTGAGTTCAGTCCCCAGTACCACCAAAAAAAAAAAAAAAAAGGGAATCTGAAATCCATTCAAGGACTGAACCAGACTTCATATATTTTAAGATAGCATGGCGCTAGTTTCAGCTATAATTCTAGATTTGTCTATTTCTTTTTCAGTTCTAATATTTTTTGTTTGATACATTTAAGATTGCTAAATGCATTTTGCTGTTGTTTGATGGTTTATTCTACATATGTCAGCTTAGTTCTTCTTCCAAAGATTGTTGAAAGATGGGTAATATGGTGTTATACTCCCAACTTTAGTGTTATACTTGTGGATTTATTTCTCCATTCAGTTGCCTTTTTTTTGTCCTTCACATGTTTTGCAGCTCTGTTGTTGAGTGCATACATATTTAGGATTATTATGTCTTGCCTTTTGTTGTTCTTGTATGTGTGTATGTGTCGCCAGGGATCAAATCCAGGGCCTCCTGCATGCTAAGCTAATGCTCTACTGCTGTACTACATCTTAAGCCACTCTACAGAATTTTTTTAGTTTATCTCTTTTATATAGCTTTTTTAGTGGTTGCTCTAGGTATTGCATTGTGTGTGCATAACTTACCACAGTCTATTGCTATTGTCATTTTATCATACTGGATATGTTTACTCTGATTTTTGTTCATCATCCCCTCCCTCCCTCCCTCCCTCCCTTCCTTCCTCCCTCCCTTCCTTCCTTCCTCCCTGTTCCTTCCTCCCTTCCCCCCATCCTCCCTCCCTCCCTGTCTCTTCTTCTTATACCCTTTGTATTTAGAGAAATTCTTTTAGGGTAGATCAGGTGGCTTACTCTTGTAGTTTTCTTTCATCTGAGAATGTCTTGATTTCCTTGTCATTCCTAAAAGATTTGCTGGATGAAGGATTCTGGGTTGACAGTTTTTTCTTTCAGCTCTTGAAACATAACATATTGTTTCTTCTGCCCTCGTGGTTTCTGAAGAGAAATACACTCATTATAACTCTTTTTCCTTCTAGTTAAGGTATCATTTCTCTCCCATTGCTTTCAAGAATTTTTTGTCTTCATAATTTTAATTATGATGTCTCTTGGTGTGGAATT